CCCCCCCCCCCCCATATTTCCTGACTAAAATATCCTCTGTACAGGGAAATAAAAGCCTGGATTAACTATTATTATATTTAATGGAAAGGTTTAAATTAATCCCTTGCCTTTCTTCTCAACTATGATAAATGGTTGTATTTTATGCTGTAACAAATCATAAGGCTATATTTAATAATTGTTGATTATGATTTGGTAGAAAAATCGAAAAAGAAAATAGTTTATGTGACCTGAGGCCGAATTTAAAGAATTTGAGCCGCGTCTTAAATTTAAACCACGGCTCAAATATGGTAGGTTCCACTTAAAATCGTATTCATTGCTTCAGATTTAAGCCGGCGCTCAATTAAAACCAGTTTTGGGCGGATTTAAGACGCGGCTCAAATTCATTAAATTCCGACACCGTAGATTTAAATCCCTGGATCAAGAAATTATACGTATCTTGTGCAGTCTTTTGAATAAAATTAAATCCGCTTAAATGTCCTTTTGATTGTGATGAATCCCTGTAGGAATAACTAAAATAAAGGGATTAAGCAGTTATCTCTCAATTTTAAAAGTTGTCCCAGTGGATATCAAAATCAAACCTGAATTTATTAGAATCAAATGTTTAACTTGAGTAATTTCCATTCGCGCGTTTTTATTCCATATCGAATAATTTGCCAATATTTATATTTTGAAAACAATTCAGCTGTGATCATAAAAAGATAGTATAAAGGATTTGATGGACTTCGATCAGAAAACAATTCAGCTGTGATCATAAAAAGATAATATAAAGGATTTGATGGACTTCGATCAGAAAAACTTTCATGTATAGAACCATCAGAGTGATCGATGGGCAGCTATGAAAATTGTAAATTAACTTTCAAGACTTGTTTGACTTTAAAGTGTCACAGCACCTTCACATTAGGGTTCAGCTTACTCAAGTATCATTTTTAAAGATTTTAGAACAACAACAAATGTTTACCTTAAGATAAAATGTAGTAATATACTGAGAGAGAGCGTCCATATTTTAAACAACTAATATTTTACATATACATATACATATACTTTATGGAGCAAAAAGAATTTAAGAAAATTAATAATTTTCCAATTTGAAAGTCAAGGGTGGTTTAAACTGTACACCATTGATACAGATATAAGTTTAAGTTATTTAAAAAAGTCCCTAAATTTCAAAACATTTTGAACCTATGTTACCCCAAAATGTCAGCGAATTCGGCCCAGCCGTTTGACGAGCTATAGATTACGATTACATATATGAGCGAAGAGCTTTATTATATTTGTTCTTCGTTTTCATGTTTAGTATTTATGATAGTTCACAATTTTCATCTTTCATGATGATTATTCATGTTTATGTTATGAAATTTGGTTCTAGGTTGATATCTGGGCTACAGGTTGCCTCTATACGGAGATGTTAACGGGGGATCCATTGTTCCCTGGTGACTCGGATATAGATCAAATATTTCACATTGTTAAAAGCCTAGGTAGGTCAAATATACGTCAACTATAGGTCGACTAAAGGTCAAATAAAGGTCAACTATAGATCAACTATAGGTCAAATATAAGTCAATTATAGTTCAAATATAGGTCAACTACAGGTCGTATAGAGGTGAAATATAAGTGAAATATAGGTCGACTTTAGGTGAAATATAGGTCGACTATAGGTCAAATATAGGCCAATTATAGGTCAACTATATGTCAACTATAGGCCAATTATAAGTTAACTTTAAGTCAACCACATGTATACACTGCACACGTACTTTTGGGATAAGGAATATGTCAGATGTAGCATATTATTTAGCAAGGTTTTTATAAAACTTATTGCACAAGAGTTTTAAAAAAATTAATCTCTATTAATATTTTTACTAAATTAAAGAATTCTTAATGTCCTACAGTCCTATTCTAAATATATTAATTTTGATGATGAAAGGTCTTACTTTTGCAGAAATAATATAATATATATTTTTTTACAGAAAATTATATTTTTCTTTGCTAGGTGTGCAAAACTACAATTCTAAAATCGTGCAGAACTGAACATTTTGCAGAACTGGAAACCCTTACTGTAGAATATGTTTTCTTGTTATGATTAAAAATACTAAGAAAATGCAAAAAGAGCACTAGTAAACCAGGAAAGACTTGAAGTGAAGGCAGGGGGGGGGGGATCGGTTAGTGTTTACGATAACATCTACCAGTAAAAGAATTGTGAATTAAGAAGATTTTAACTTTTTACTCTTCACAATTATAAAGAATATGATAAAAACTATTTTGTTTGTTTTTATTTTTACTAGATTAATCGTTCCTCATAAATTATGCATATTCTTTTTTATCCAATTTAAAAGTTTAGTTAATCCTTATGCACTTTTGAACAATTAACTAAAAATTTTAAGTATCAAAAGTAACGAAGATAATACTTGATATTGTAAAAAAACAAATAGTTTCATTATAGCTTGAATAAATTTTTTAGGAATTAATAACGACCAATATTAATATAGAACTGTGTCAAAGTTATACAAAATTTCATTTATACATAATATACCGCAGGTTATGAATGATCATTGGTGGAAATTCTGGTCACGTATAACAGACGGAGCCATATGACCAGATAATGCACTGCCATTGGTGGAAATTCTGGTCATGTGATACAGATGTAACAATTGCATTATTAATTATATCAATTAAAAGGAAAAGTATTATAATCAAATTATAATAGGAGCGTACCTTACATTTTTAGGCACCTCTAGGTTAGCCTAATTTTCATATTTGTTCTGTATTTTCTGAATATTATCTGGTTAAAACTTGACTTCATATACCATATCACATATATATGAGCTTTGGTATAACTTTGACTGATCTCTGCCCGCAATTGGACCAGATATTAAAAATGGTATCAATTATACAATGGATTTGTTCTAATTAAGCACATTTTCTGTTTTAATTAATAAATTTCTAAAACAAAATGTTTAGGTCCTTTGTGCCTCAGGCATAGAGAGCTAATGTCCCGGAATCCAGCATATAACAACATTAATATAAACACAAACAGTTCTAACCAAGGACTACAGAATATGTTCCCAACATGGTAAGCATATACGTTATAAAATGCACTAATAAACTTTATATTGGACTTGATGGAATTGCATTAATTTATTTGGTAAGCACTTTGTCATTTATTCTCCATTTATGCTCAGTTTCATTATATCACTGACAGTAAACAAAAGTGTGCTATAATGTTCTATTGGCCGTTTATTAAAACACTGTTTTATTAAGTTTAATTAGTTTCGGAATTTTCTTTAAAAATCAGGATATGAAAAAACTTTGTTTTATGTCTGTCTAGAAATGTTCACATTTATCAAGAAAAGTGCACAGACATTTCATAAAAGCTTGAGATGCATAAATTTAATCTAATTATTTCCCTGGTACAGTTAAGCCCTTAATTTCAAAAGTTTGCATTTCAAATAGTTGACATTTTAAATGAAACCAAAAATGATAACATTTTAGCCTCATGTTAGTTTCAGGACTAATTCCAATATTTAGAATAGTTTTACCATTCTGCATTTAAATAATTACATGAAATTAGCAATCTAATGATAGAAAAACTAGTTTTAATATATCTGAATTTTAAGATCATAATTCTCCGAAAAGACGCTTTAGGTAACTCTTCTTGATTCAAATATGATTAATTCTCCCCTAACTTTGTTGGATAAGTTAGAATAGTTCTATAATTTCTTTATGTTCTCCACAATGCACAAGTTCAAGGATTAACTCATTACTTCCTATATTCGTTCTATTGTTCTATAGTTCCCGGAACAATTTCTGCATCCTATAGAGAACTGCATTTCCTTGATTAAACCTGAAAATAGAGTTTAGTAGCAAACCCTTTGCAGATCTACAGTTTGGATAGCAACGATTCATCAATATAGAGTTTAGAAGCGAAGCCTTTGAAGATCTACAGTTTGGATAGCAACGATTCATTAATATGGAGTTTAGAAGCGAACCCTTTGTAGATCTACAGTTTGGATAGCAACGATTAAATAATATAGAGTTTAGAAGCGAACCCTTTGTTGATCTACAGTTTGGATAGCAACGATTCATTAATATGGAGTTTAGAAGCGAACCCTTTGTAGATCTACAGTTTGGATAGCAACGATTCATTAATATAGAGTTTAGAAGCGAACCCTTTGTAAATCTACAGTTTGGATAGCAACGATTCATTAATATAGAGTTTAGTAACGAACCCTTTGTAGATCTACACTACAGTTTGGATAGCAACAATTCAATAATAATATTAGACATTGTTTAAGAAGCTACTTTCAAAACTTGAGCCTGGTAGGCTTTACAATGGCCTCACAAATATTAAGTATTATTGCATTTATTTGCTCTTTTCTTATGTAAACAAATTTACTTTTATCCTACAGATGCAAATCTTTAAATGAATTAGGGAAACCGGAATACAAAATACATATGAAAATGGTATCCAAAAAAATGAAAGTTCTGTGAATGTGTTAGTCTGAAATTTTAAAATATCCATAAGATTATCTTACTCAGAATTTTTTTTAAAACTTTTGCTTAATACTCTTTCAGACCTGAAATTAAGTTTTACAAGCACTTTACTGTTTTTATTAACTTCATAATCATGGTTATAAACAAGAATACATTTTTCATAGCCTTAAAATCGTCCCTGTCGTCGTAATTATTAATGAATGATTTTCATAATGCATAGATATGATGGTCTGGCAACAATGATTAATTGTGTAGGTCGAACCAGTCATTGAGTTTTGTGTCTCAATGTTTACAAGTTGACCCTGCAAAACGATCTCCAGGAGATACATTGCTCTCTAGTTCATTGTTCTCCCAGGACGGTTTGAACTCATGGTTTGTTCAGGTATATTACATACCTAGAGACAATCAAATAAAGGAATTGAGTCTTTGCCACAAACTCTGAATTTAAAATCCTTATATCTTTTTAAACCCAATGTCGCAAAACTTTGATATTTCAAACTTACATTATTTGATCTTACAGAATTGATAGTTTGAAATATCTAAGATCTACGACATTGGAATCTAAAAATATAAAAAGATTTTAAAAAGCAGAGTTTGTTGCAAAGACTCAATTCCTTTTCAGGTTTTTGCATTTGTATGAAAATTTTATTGTTTAGAAATGCGGAAGAAACTATTTTAGACGCCAGAAACTCTAATTTTCCAATCTTTGCGACCACGTGAAATTACGAAATTAATATGTTTTAAGAATTCGTATCTTGTAGCAATCGTCTTGTATCTTGTATTGAATTAAACCAGAATGCAATATAGTAAACACAATATCTCTAGTTTCCAAGAACCTAGTTCATATTCAATATTTGTTTACCTAGTAAATGCAGATGCAAAATTTTCACAATTTCGTGAGTGCAAGTTCAAAATTTATCAAACCCTTGCATTATATTGAGATTAAAACTTTTGGACCATATACATTTTCTAAGAACTTAAATTTTATTCTAGGGTTTCTGTAAAAAGTGTTTAAAATTGACTAGAAATTATTCGATCATCTAACTTCATAGTAACACGGAAAATGTCAAAGTTTTCAAAGTTTCTATAAATGATATTTCAAACAGTAAATATTAGATATCCCAGTTAGGGAAACAATATCATTTATTTAGGAAATATCCCGCCGGATTGTAGAAGAGAAATGAATAGTAAATATTAGATATCCCAGTTAGGGAAACAATATCATTTATTTAGGAAATATCCCGCCGGATTGTAGAAGAGAAAGGAATAGTAAATATTAGATATCCCAGTTAGTAAAACAATATTATTTATTTAGGAAATGTCCCGCCGGATTGTGGAAGAGAAAGGAATAAATCCTTTGTTAAAGAAAACTCCTCTGCAGTCCAACAGAAACATCACAAACAGACCAAAGGATTCAAACAACAGTATTGTAAGAATATTTAAAAAATATAACAATTTTTTTGCAAGGAAACTGAGTCCTTACACAAACTCATGTTTTCTAGAACTTTTATCTTTTCAACCTGATGGTTTGAACTTTAGATATTTTAAACTTAGATTATTTGATCAAACATAATTCATAGTTTGAAATATCTAAGATCTACAACTTTGCAACGATATAGGGGTTGGTAAACCAGAGTTTGCGGTAAAAACTCAATTCTTTTTGTTAATTATCTAGAAATATAAATCTTTTTTGAAAGAAAGTCTAAACAAAAACCAAAATAAAACTAATTATCAAAAGAAATCTACGAAAAAATGCAACATTATTTAAATTCAAGCATTGCATTAATTAAGTGAAAAACTAGAAAAATTAGATTTGAAAAATATGAACTGCTTCAGGATGAAAAAGGATTCCAGGCAAAAATACGTCGGTTGAGTGACCATGACACTCTTTTCGATGATGTATTAAAGAAAGCCAACATGTACAGGTTGGAAACAAATTTCTAGAAAAATATATTTTTTTGTATATTACTTTTACTTTATGTTATATTAGTGAGAAATACAGTAAACCTGATAGATTATCTAGTCGTGAACCCTCTGCACAATCTCAACTGGTGAGTTTATACTGTGTGTACATGTATGTACGTATGTACACATGAAAATATACAGCTGCACCTTTGTAACGTTTAAAACTGTTAAGCCGCACAGTAAACAGGGCACAATAAACTGTGAAACTGCACACATTCTTTTTACCCATCATTAATTATTTAAAGAAAGAAACTGAACTCTTGTCGCAAACTATGTTTTTTAAATTCCAAAATCTTTGCAACCCAAGGTCTTAGAACCTAGATATGTCAATATATGAACTGTGAGATCTAATAATTTAAGTTTAAAATTTCAAAGTTTTCACGATCAGGTTGTAAAGATAAAGGGATAAGATAATATCAGTTGGAAGCAAGATCTAGTTTCCTGAACAAAATATTATATTGCTTTTTGGTTTGCAAACTACAAGACTTTTAATTAAATATGGCCACAGTCATTATATACATAAAAACGTATAGTATTATTAACGTAAATTGAAAATATAATTACAATTCTTTAAATTATATAGAACCAACGCAATCTTCAATTATTCATTAATAATCATAGATTCTTTAAAACGGAATGAAAATTGTCTTTAGAAAGTTTTTATTTAAAAACTAAAGATTTATAATTATAATAACTCTAAAGAAGACATGTATTGAGGACGAAACTTTGTGTGAAGTATTGTTAATTTTGAATTCTAGTTTGATCTCGATATCCAATTTGGGCATCTTGAAAGAAACTGAGTTTTTGCCACAAACTCGAAATTTCTATTTCCTTTATCTTTTTAACCCAATCATAGTAGACCTTTGATATTTCAACAAAAAGTTGAACCTGCACTGCAGGATATAACCACTACTGGATATCGAAGAGGTATTAAATTAATTGTATAAGATAGAGATTAATGTTTGATCCAAGGATTTACAACACAACATTTTCAGTTATAATTCTAACAAAGTAGAAAATAATTAGTTTCATTCTATTAAAAAGAAATATAATTCCACTTTATACTCTTTAAGAACTTATGTCTTTACCCATGTATATTCAATTGAAAATCAGCTTTGTATCGCTTTTCTGCCAGAACTTTCAAGACCAACAGATTGATTGTTTTAATATTAAAATTGCTCCTAACTCAGTTAATTTATTAGAGAAGTCCTCTGAGTTTGCCAAGTCCAGGATACGTCGCTAGCCCTGGCCGCACTGTGCGGTTACCTAAGGTAAAATATCCAGGATTGCATTTCTGAAGAAAATCCTTAAAACTTGAAACTATCTAATTTCTTAAAATGATAAAATTCTTAAAATTTCTCAGGATCCACTGAGAGAGCTTTCTGTATCAGAGAACAATGAAAGATGGTAAATTTTTGAAATAGAAAGGGGGTGGAGAGGGGGAGTTAAAGGTGGGTTGGATGGGGTGGAGTTAAAGTGTTTTTTTTGTTTTTTTGGGGGGGGGGGGGTTATAAAACATTTTGATTAAAGAAAATCAATAGAAAAAAGAAAAGCTTTTGTAAAAAAAGGGACTAAGATTTTTTTTGGCGTTTCAATCAAAATTAAAATTAAAATCTTAAACGATCTGTCAGACAAAGCAATTTCAAGTGACCTCCAAAATCAAAAGAGTTTCATGTCCAATATTCACAATAGGTACTCTTGGAACCTTTGTGTAAGCAACATTGATAAAGATATCGATACTTATTAAAAGTTATTTCATTTGCAACTTGCAAGTCACTTTCGAAGAGAATCCAAAAATGATCAATTTTTAGATAAAAATTAAAGGATGCGCCGTCATTTTAGCTCTGGGTATCCTTGTGATTCGGAAAATCTACTTGTTAATGGTAACTTAAAATTACGTGGACAATCCCTTGAATATTGGTTTGTCCTGCATCCAGCATATTCTACTCCTCTTGAAGAATATTTGTTTGCAGGCGATCTCCCCTAGATTCTAAACCTGAACCAACGGAAAAGTTTGGATTCCTCGGTAAATATACTTGCAAATATTTCAAATTCTCAGTTTCAAAAATAAAAAGTTTTCTCCTGTTTCCAAGCAAATATTACTCCATGCCTTTCAGAAATTTTAAAAATGGCGAACCTTATTGGTGGAAATGTATAAAATATTTCTAAAATAAATAAGTATTGTCTTCTAATATCCATTCCTAATCAAATCTTGGATGAAATCAACATAATGACAAAAAGAAATAAATACTCGCCACAATATCTACTTTTATATTTTTTATTCGTTGCAATCTTTCATTCAAACTATTATCACATATCATAACTTTAAAATATCCAAGGTTTACGCCATCAGGTTGCAAAGATTTTAAAATTCTAAGATTTTGAGTTCAGTTCCTTTGCAATATACCAATAAATCTTTAATTCCAGAAAAGGCATTTGAGCGCGCTTTTCAATTTGAGGACGGGCCTTCTTCGCTTAATCTAAATTCATTAAACAATTCAAAGAAGGAGGCTGACAGGTAGAGAACCTAACTATATTTACTGATGTACTTTTGTCTTATATTTATATAGAATTTTGATACTATAAAAATTCAAATCATGTGTTGAATACTTATTTTCTTATATATTATATATAGAGAGAGAGAGAGAGAGTTTACGGCGAATTAAAATGTGCAAAACTATTTTCGACAAACAAAATTTTCAAGAAAAACTGAAAATGTGCAAATTCTCTTTTAATATATCTATATAAAAATCTATGCAAAATTTCTTTAAACAAATTGTTTAATCTGCTTTCTCTTGTTCAAGGCTTTCAAAAAAGCTATAAAATGTCGAAATCCAATGACCGGAAGTAGGTCTAAATATAGATTTAGTCGGGTAAAGGTAAGATAAGACATTCAGGCAGTATGCCTGAAGACTCAGGCAGTAGGTATATAAATGTCCCGCTTTAAGTCTAAAGTGAGGGACATGTATTAGTTAGAAAATTCAAAAAATTTGAAGAGCCAAAGACCAAATACTAAATGAGTTATCTTCCAAAAACGTCAACCGGAATAGGGTTTAGAAGACTATATCTTATTCTGTAACGTATAAAAATTACATGTTTAATGAGACACACTTTATCTTGTTAAACCATATAGTTTTCACTAAAACTAAATATTGATTTTTCTTCTTGATTAGACTGCAGAGTGTTGGGGGGAAGGAGAAGCAGAAGGTTTGGTTACCAAGTGTGGCAGGTAAACCAAAATATAAACCAAAAATGACTATTTTTGATTAAAAAAAAAGAAAAAGTGAGAATTTTCGAATATATTTAATATCAGGCGCTACAGGACGAGGTGGATTACAAGTTTTGGGAAAGAAACCAACTCCTAGTCGATCAAATGTACTAGAGGGGAGATCACAGGTGCAGGTACAAGTACAGGTACAGATACAAGTACAAGTACAAATACAAGTACAAGTACAGGTACAGGTACAGTTAAAGGTACAGGTACAGGTACAGGTACAGGTACAGGTACAGGTACAGGTACAGGTTCAGGTACAGGTACAGGTACAGGTACAGGTACAGGTACAGGTACAGGACTACAGGTACAGGTTCAGGTACATGTAAATATACATGTACATGTACAGCTACAGCTACAACACAGATTTCATTTTAGAAGGAGCCTGTGCAACAGAGAAGAGGTCGTCCCAATCTACCTCACGTCTAAACAATGGTCGGAAACTCTTGAAAATCTTCGAATGTGTTATTGGATGTGAATGACCTCCTCCAATTGGATATAGAAACGTCTTTCCTCTTAGTTTATAGTGATCTATGTTTATATTTTGAATGCTGATTTGAATATCTTTAAATTTTGTATTGGTAAAACTTGTTTTTTTTAAATTAAGGTACCACACAGGTAATTTTAATAAATTTTCGGACTTTCAGTATATTTTTATCAGGCTTTTTGTAATAAGTGTATTATGTTTAGCGTTGTTAAAAACCAAGTGTACAAATGATACTATAAAAACAGACTTTACTATCTTTTTTCTGACTTTTTATTAATATTTTTGAAAATTTAAACGATATCTGATAAACTTAAGATTAAAGCTAGATTAAAAAATTTCGGTTGAAATTCTCTGAATTAAAATCAATTTCAGAGCTTAAATTTGGTTTAAGGAATATAATTATTTTATCAATTGTTTTGATTTTGTCAAAAAGCTAAATTAAATCTAGTTTTTAGTTTTGTGAGAATTTATCACAAAATACACGGATTGGACATGAGAGTATTTAAGCCCCAGCCCTTTTTACTTTTTTACGGTGAAACCCATGAAACTGTGGAAAAGGAAGACGAAATTCAAGCAATCTTTGTTTTGGTAAAAATAATACTTTTACAAGTAGCTTTAAAAATATGTCTTTCCTGTTCATAGGTTGAGTTTTAATGTCGGTATCTTATTCCATAATTTGCCGGACTGCACTGCCCTGTACTGAAAGTAAAATTCGGCAGGCCGGGTCGGTACATGAATTCACATAAAACTTACTAGGCCGGGTCGGTACATGAATTCACATAAAACTAACTAGGCCGGGTCTGTACATGAATTCACATAAAACTAACCAGGCCGGGTCGGTACATGAATTCACATAAAACTAACTAGGCCGGGTCAGTATATGAATTCACGTAAAACTAACTAGGCCGGGTCTTTACATGAATTCACATAAAACTAACCAGGCCGGGTCGGTACATGAATTCACATAAAACTAACTAGGCCGGGTCAGTATATGAATTCACGTAAAACTAACTAGGCCGGGTCTTTACATGAATTCACATAAAACTAACTAGGCCGGGTCGGTAAATGAATTCATATAAAACTAACTAGGCCGGTTCTGTAAATGAATTCACATAAAACTAACAATGCCGGGTCGGTACATGAATTCACATAAAACTAACTAGGCCGGGTCTGTACATGAATTCATGTAAGACAAACTAGGCCGGATCGGAACATAAATTCACGTTAAACTTACTAGGCCGGGTCGGTACATAAATTCACGTTAAACTTACTAGGCCAGGTCGGTACATGAATTCACGTTAAACTAACTACACCGAATATTTTCAGCCTTATTTTGACCTCTTATCCGTCAAAAAACTACCTTATATGCCTAAACATTCAAACTACACCAGGAAAACTACAAAGCTGCAGTAAAACGAAAAAATCTGCATCTAGTGAAAATGGGTTTAAAGTAAAGACTATATGAATTTTAACCAGAACCTCTAGTTTGCCATGAATTGGTACAAATTGAAATTTCTAATATTAAAGCTTTATGTTTTAATATAGCTTACTCAAAGAGATTGTAATGAACAAAAATACCAATATAACCATTCCTCTTGTTCCATCTGTGTAATCTGTGATTTATCTGCATGTGTCAACACTCAATGTTTGTTCAAATAGAGATTGCATAATGTTTTGGTTTAATTCATGTGCAGAGATAGCCTGAAAGATCCATTGTCCAAAATCTACATCCCAAAAATATTTACGTATTTTGTTTATTTAATTTCGCTATTTCGCTCATGTAAATTTAGCTATAGCTAGCCAAACGACGACAGGACCAAAATGTCTGTTTTTTAGAAAACCCATGTGTACTCTAAGGATGACAAAGGCTAAAAAAAGTTTTTTTTGTCTCAAAACTCGATTTCAAAGTGTTTTTTTTAATTCCACAGGCAACGCTGCAAACACTTTAGCTCGTCACTTATCAAGTATCATGTCATAACAAGAAATATGATGGGAATGAAAAAGAAATATGATGGGAATTAAAAAGAAATATGATGGGAATTAAAAAGAAATATGATGGGAATTAAAAAGAAATATGATGGGAATTAAAAAGAAATATGATGGGAATTAAAAATCGGTGAGAGAGTTTATGTTTTGGTTTTCCTTTTAAAAGCTACTTTTTTCTCACTTAATTCAATCTTATTTTGATTTTGATGTACTCGTATGACAATAGATATATATATATGTAAAGTAGAAATCTGTGTAATTGTTTGTTTGTATGCCCGATCATAACTCAGGAACCTCTTAACCAATTTTCCTCAAATTTTGATTCGGGAACTCTGTAGAATTACAGAAATGATCTTAGATTAATTTAGAGGGTTGGCTCTTATAAAGAGAAATTTGTCTCTCAGCAAAGCTGGGTTCCCAAGCTAGTCTTGTATATATTTCCGTCTGCACAGTTTTGAATAATATAATATTTAAAATACAAATATTTAAACCTATAGTTGAGTATAAAGTCGCACCTTAGTTCAACTTCCCATTGTAAGCAAATATAGAACTTGGATATTCTAGGAATAAACTGAAACAAGAGCAATTTAGAAAACCAGGGGTAGATATATCGGTGGATATATATTTAACATTTAGAAATTGCGCTGCTGATTGTGGGAAAAGGGGATGGGCACAAGATTACCAAAGGATTTAAAAATTTTAATAAAATTCTCATTTAAAAAAAAATCAATTAACAGTTTATTTTTAAAAAAAGCTCCTGAAGAACTTTTTTTTTAATATGAATGCTTTGATGAAAAGGTTCAGCAAAGGTTTTGATTTCTAATATGTTTGACTGCTGAGTTTGAATGATTCATGGGTTCAGTGTAACAGTAATATACGGTGGAAGAAGTTTGAATCAAATTACATTATAGTACGCACAATCCATGTTGTGTACGCATAAGTTTATAACACTTTGAAGTAAAATGAATATACTCAATATAACAGGTAGTTGTGTGCGAGTCATAAATTGAGAAACCCACAACAGATTTCAGAATTTATACAGGTGTCCCAATATACGTGGGAGTTCAGTGACGATTAAGAAATCGTCTTTGTTCAGAATTAGCGTTGTATTACCTAATTTCAAGTTATGTCTACTAGAATACATTTTGTTAATGCAATATACGATCCGAAGTCCGTACTGCCGCAGCAGAATATTTCTTCTGGAAACCCTTCTGCATCAAGGACATCACTTCCTTGATCTCACTGCAGACCTGCATCCCCTTATCCTGTGACAAAATCCCAGCAAATCAAATTAAAACGATTCGTTTTCAGGATTATCTCTTTTTCTTAAATTGTTGATACATTCTCAGTTATTTGTACCTAACATTGCCATCCTAGAGTTTTTTGAGAAGAAATTAACGATTTAAAAATTAACAATTTTAATCCTGTTTAACATTGATTTTCCTTTTTTGTGTTGCTCGAATCCTAAAATAAAAATAAAAATGAAAATTTAACTTAAGATAAAATAAAAATAAATAACAATAATTAAAATTTAGCAATTTAATCAAAATGATATAAATGTTCAAAGAAATTTTATAAAAGAAATTTCAAATATTTTTATTATAATTAAGCAAAAAAAGCCACAATTTTATTTATTTAAAAATTTGAATATTAGAAAATTTGTTGATGGTGGGCGGGATTAGCCGCCTTTTTTAGAGAGTGGTGTAAATAGTAAATATTAATAGTATACTGTTTTATATACTGCTAAACGCAAAGAGAAGAGAATATTTATTAGAGGGGAATTTACTAGAAAAAAGTGTAAAGCGGCCATTTGTTGTACTGTTTTCATACTGCAGGTGTACTTCACATATTTGTGCTATATAACCTTTTGGGCCCTGGAATATCATTTTATAGAAAATCTGAAATTATTGTTAAAAGAAAACCAAATTATGAAATAGGTTGGTTTCATAATTGACCATGGATCATTTCACATAGACTCTATGCCTTTCACTTTACAAACGAGGATTTTCCGTTATAACTATAAATTTCGAAATTGAAATGGATAGTCTAGGGAACATACTGTATAAATGTACTCTACTGCATATAATTTGTGAACATTTACATGATTTGTACACTTTGAACTCCCTTTCAGGCTGAAAGGGACTGAACAAATTCATATCGAGAGATTGTCTAAATTCCCCTCTAATATATAATATATTAATATATAATATAATATTAAACAGTTCCTGTGCACTATTAACCAGTTCCTGTGCACTATTAACCAGTTCCTGTGCACTATTAAACAGTTCTTATGCAATATTAAACAGTTCCTGTACACTATTAAACAGTTCCTGTGCACTATTAAACAGTTCCTGTGCCTATTAAACAGTTCCTGTACACTATTAAACAGTTCCTGTGCACTATTAAACAGTTCCTGTGCACTATTAAACAGTTCCTGTGCACTATTAAACAGTTCCTGTGCACTATTTAACAGTTCCTGTGCACTGTTAAACAGTTCCTGTGCACTATTAAACAGTTCCTGTGCACTATTAAACAGTTACTGTGCACTATTAAACAGTTCCTGTGCACTAATAAACAGTTCCTGTGTTCTATTAAACAGTTACGGTGCACTATTAAACGGTTCCTGTGCACTATTAAACAGTTTCTGTGCACTGTTAAACAGCTACTGTGCACTAATAAACAGTTTCTGTGTGCTATTAAACAGTTCATGTTTACTATTAAACAGTTCCTGTGCACTATTAAACAGTTCCTGTGCACTTTTAAACAGTTCCTGTGTACTACTAAACAGCTCCTACGCACTATTAAACAGTTCCTGTGTACTACTAAACAGTTCATGTTTACTATTAAACAGTTTCTGTGCACTATTAACCAGTTTCTGTGCAATATAAAACAGTTCCTGTGCACTATTAAAAAGTTCCTGTGCACTATTAAAAAGTTCCTGTGCACTGTTAAAAAGTTGCTGTGCACTATTTCACAGTTGCTGTGCAATATTAAACAGCTCATGTACACTATTAAACAGTTCCTGTGCACTATTAAACAGTTCCTGTGCACTATTTCACAGTTCCTATGCACTATTAAACAGCTCCTGTACACTAAAAAACAGTTCCTGAACACTATTAAACAGTTCCTGTGCACTATTTAACAGTTCCTGTGCACTGTTAAATAGTTCCTGTGCACTGTTAAACAGTTCCCTTGCACTATTAAGAAGTTTATGTGCATTATTACACGTGTCTGTGCTTAAATAGTTCCCGTGTAGACCCGTGCATTATCAAACAGTTCCTCTGCACTATTAAACAGTTCCTCTGCACTCTCAAACAGATTCTATACACTATTGAAAATTTCCTGTACCCTATTAAAGAGTTCTTGTGCACTATTGAAGACTTTATGTACCATACTCAAAAGTTTCTTCACTCTATAAAACAGCTTTAATTTTAGTGGTTCCACTTATTCTCTTGTTCCTGAACTCTGTACATGCAAACCTCAGGTAATTGCAGTACAATACAGTATGCAGAACAGTGTAAACTTTACACAGTACAGTGTATACTTTAGTTCTATTTATAGTGTTAAAAAAATATATTTTTTTTGTTCCTTGGTATCTGTTTAATAAAACTATTCATAGAGAATGTTTAGTGTATCTATAGTATTAATCTTCATGGTTAGCCCTTTTCAAAATGTATGACTAACTGCTGCTGCTGTTTTATGATATATTTTTCTCCGGATATATTCTTATGAATTTGTGAATTTAATTGTGAAACTAAATATTTAAACAATATAAACACATTGCGCTTACACTGTATAGCAAACTACAGAAAAATCATTTTATTTGGTTCTGAGCAATTTCAAGATTGTGATATGGTAAATGTACAATGTACAATGTACATATAGAAGCCATCCAATAATATCTGTACACTTTTATTTATGATAGAACAGTGTATCCAACTTAAACACCAGTTCAATAATCCACGGATTCTAATGTCGTCTTGAATTTTTAATTCATCAGAATTCGGAAATTTAAACAGATTTAGATGTGTTTTACAATAATATTACACGAAATGAAACAAAAATTCAATACTTATATGGAATTGAGTCTTTGCCACAAAATCAAGTTTTCTTATCCCTATACCTTTGCAACCTCATGGTGTAAACCTTTGTTATTTCAAACTTAAATTTTTTTTCTCGTGTACTATCCTTGCTTCGTCTGCTAACAGTTCCAATGGGTCTGTGTAAACTGCACAACTGCAGTGTTCCATTTGGTAATCAAAACTTGAATCTAAAAGCCCTCTTCCTATTCCAACATTTTTGGGTATCATGTTAGAATAACATTTGATAAAAAAATATGATATTTCAATTTCGGATCAAACTAAAAAAGGGTGAACCAAATCGTATACATTTTACATAGCTATCCATGCGTGGTATATATCTCTACATTTAAAAACTCTATTATAATTATCAATATAATTAGGAAATGAACTTCTTTAGCAAAGGTCTTAAACAAATGTTTCAAATGTGTTCTCTGGATTATAGGGACCCAATCTGTCAGATTAAAATAATCCATTTAACCCTAAACAGGCTGTTTTTTGTCCCAGCACTCTCCTTTTTGAAACTATCATCGTGAAAATTGTGACTTTTAATAAATAGTAATTTAAAGGTTTTTTTGTAAATTTTTTTAATGCATAGGGTTGGGTTCAGCGCGGAAAAAAATCCGGTTTTTTGGAAAAAAAATCTAAAATAGCCCATAATTGTTTTGTGACTAAAGCTACATATCTAAAAACTATATTTCTGAAAAGCCATTGAAAAATAGATAGAGAAACATGTGTCACACTTTCATATTTGTTTAAAACAAAAACAAAAATATTTTTTTTTAATTTTCTGACCCTTTTTTGGCGTTTTTTCAACCCTCCCTAGCACCCAAACTATTAAAGTTATCAGTCTAATTTTTTTTCAATTAGCTGGCCTTGGCAAATTGGGCTATGAACATGCATTTTAACCCTATATCTGTTCTCTAAGGCCTATTCTAAATACCCCCCCCCCCCCCGGCTATACATAGATTCTGACCCCCAGACTTTTAAGGGTTAAGAAGCTTTTACAGTGTATTTTGTTTAGATGTTACAGTTGTTTTCCCTGCACTGAGTTTGATTATTTTACAAATGTCGATCCAAGAAGATTTGAACAGGTTAAATATATATATAAAATCTACACTACAAACTAGATATACACAGACTGCTCATAAGCTCTCACAGGTTAGGCGAAGCAGGCCTATACTTGTCCCGGCACGACATGCTACATGGTTTTTGACTGCCATCTAACGGCCACTTGTTGCATATAACACTTATTCAGGGGTTAAGTTTTACAATTTTTAAAGACATACTTTTAGCATAAAACATTCAATTTATAAATTTAGTCTATTTCTGAAGGTTTTGTATTTTGTACCCAAAAGATCGTTAAATATCCCTGAATACGACTGGATCAATTGGTTGTGGTCGTGGATAGAATATGCAATGGAAAATATCGCATATTCTATCCTTTAACAGATTTCTGATCTATACTCACAGATATAGAAGATACACGAGGAGAGGATAACCCTTTAACATAGTTTACAAACAAAGTGTACTGCAGTTTCTGGGAGAAATATTAACTATACACTTAGCCATGCAAAATGATCATGAGAGGGCGTGTTTTTTACTCCTTTTCAGAAATTGAAGTACAGTTTTCATTTAACCCTATCCCTGCTGGGATACTTGAAAACCAGGATACGCTGGGGGGGGGTCAATTTGACCCCCCCCCCCTCTAAATCCCATGTTTTATGTCCAAATATGACAAATGATACATCATTAGAAAGCTCTTGTGCTCTACTTTTAGAATCTGCAAAAAAATTTGCAAATTTGCGAAAATTGAATTTTTTATCGCAAAATCCAGTTTTATAGTAAAAATGTTTGCAAAAAAAAATTTGTCCAAAAAATGACAAATTATACATTTTTGAAAAGCCCTTGACCATGTCATTTCAAATATGCAAAAATTTTTGCAAAATTTTAAATAACCTGATTTTTAATCAAGAAAAACTAAAAATGTGCAAATTTCCTTTCACAGGTTGTTTGCAAAAAATTTGCAATTTTTTTTTCGCAAAACTTGTGCAATCCGTTTCCTTATGTCATAGGCTTTCCGAAAAGCTAAATTTTATCAAAATCTGACTAGTGAAAGTGGGTCAAAACAAAGATTTAGTTTGTTACAGGCAAAAGCAGTCATTCAGGCAGTGTGCCTGAGGACTCAGGCAGTTAGTATTAAAGCCCGGTTTTAGGCCTAAAGGGAGGGCTTTGGGTATGTAAGAAAAGTCAGAAAATTTCAACAGCCTCAGACCAACACTTTTTGAGTTATGTAAAAAAAACTACAAGGGGGGTCAAATTGACCCCCCCCCCCCCAGCAGGAATTGGGTTAAACAAAGATTTATAGGGTTCCAGGGCATAATTACGTTACAACATTACACTGAGTCAAAGTTGTGAAGTAGTCATTTCCAAAAAAATCTGCAATTTAATTCAAATATACTTAATGCAGTCTTTCTACAACTATAAGGGCAAAGTGATGGTAAAGCTAAGTAGTTATAAACAGGATGAGGAGACTTTAAAAACGACTATAAGAATTTGTTAACCCTAAACATGCCGCCCCCCCCCCCGCCTAATTGTTTTCCCATAGCATTCTCATTTTTGAAACTTTACTCTTGACACTTTTTGACTTTCAAGGAATAGTTGTTTAAAGGATTTTTTTTGTAAAAACTTTTTTCTTAACGCATGGGTTGGGTACAGGGCGGAAAAATGCTAAACACAAATCTGAAATAAATTTTTTGTGATGAAATAAAAGTAGCGATCTATTCTTTTAAATGAGCTGGCCTGGAAAAAAATAGGCTATGAACGTTGAACTTGCATTGCAACTCTAAACATTTACTTCAAGGCGTTTTCTATAGGGGGGGGGGGGCAGACTATACATAGATTCGGACCCCCCCCCCCTTAGCTTTTATAGGGTTAAACAATTTTTTCTTCTCACATTCATCAACAGTAAACTTGTTTTCTTTGTTTACAGGATTGCTATTTAGGTAAATCAGTGAATATTTTTTTTATTTATTTTAAAGGAACTGTCGTATTTATCTTAAGTAGTCCTCGATTCACAACAAACTTTAAACCTTTATTTGGTGACAATTTTGAAATATGAAATTCCCAATTGTTTCTTTGGTAGAAATTCGCAAGTTACTTTCAAAGAAAAGTGCAATTTAATATTAATTAATAATTTGTTTTATTGATTAAAAATATGGATATCTCAAAATCGAGACTCACTTGAAATATAGTTTACCGTTTTATGTTTTCTTTTTTAACAGAAATTTGAATTTTCTAATCCCTAAATCTTGTCAACCTGATGGTGTGAACCTTTTCTATTTCAAAATCAGGTTGCAGAGATATAGGGATTAAAAATCAGAGTTTGCGACACAAACTTAGTTCCTTAATATTAAAAAGAAATATTAAATTTAAAAAAATATCTGATTGGCTGAAAAGACAGACATTGTTACATGATGAGGGGAACAGTTAGGGACGCGTATGGATATTCGTAAGTATTATTTATTATTGCCACCAAAACTTAATCGTGTTATCTCTATATTTCTGAAATTTGAAAGATAAAAAATAAAAAATTTTCCTTTTTTAAATATTATATTTTTTGCATGTCCTATTCTTACCGGTTGCCTTTAACTTTTCACTGATCAAGGATGAATGAGATATTCTCATTTTCTTGGCTAGAGATTGATTATTTTCGTGGTCTTATATCCTTATGAGACATGGAAGAAATGCAACAAATTTTAAGAGAGAAAAACTAAAATGACGATATTCCTCGTATAAGGGTTTAAACGGACTGAAAACCTAGTTTCAAGTGGCCTTCCATTTAAAAGCTGCATTCCTGATTCACTGAAAATAGAACTTTAATTTCGAATGTTTTAACCGTTTTAACCTAGAAAAGAAAAGGAACGCTAGTAACGTATCAGCTGTGTGGGGTTCCCCAGGTTCTATATCGATTGACCAGTTATTTACAAGATTTACAGATTGCTTAGGGAGTCACTTAAAATTACGCGAACAGTCCCTTTAAATGGCACCGTTATGATTTTTTTAATGGCGGATCATAGGAACTTACGTCTTCAGTACCTTTTAAGACGATCACAGCCAAAAGTTGTTTTTCGTGATATTCATTTTGTTTCTCTTTTTGATTGAAATGTTTCCCTGAGATTTATGTACGGGGGTTGGTCTACAAATATATTTATCTCTCCGATCTTGTTAAGGAGTCAGGTATCTATCCGTGGTTGTCCCTGGGGTTTATCCATCCTAGCTGGTAACCTTCAAGACGGATGCACAAACACAGAAATACAAGGTATAATCATTTTTACACAAATCAATACTTTATATTTAGTTAAAATACAGACTTTTTATGTTGACCAAATATACAGTTATTTAGTGTGCCATACATTACTATATTTGTGAATAATTCAAAACTCTTAAAAAGGGGGGGGGGGCGTTGTGTGTCCCATCCCCCTTTTCCACTTATCGCATCTTTCAAAGATATTCTCTTGTCCTATCTCTTGAATTGCAGACATTTTATGTTGACTAAATATACAGTTATTTAGTGTGCCATACATTAATATATTTTGAATAATCCAAAACCCTTAAAAAAAGGGGGGGGGGCGTTGTGTGTCCCATCCCCCTTTTCCACTTATCGTATCTTTCAAAGATTCTCTCTTGTCATATCTCTTGTATTGCAGACTTTTTATGTTGACTAAATATACAGTTATTTAGTGTGCCATACATTAATATATTTTGAATAATTCAAAACCCTTAAAAAAAGGGGGAGGCGTTGTGTGTCCCATCTCCCTTTTCCACTTTTCGTATCTTTCAAAGATCTCTCTTGGCATATCTCTTGTATTGCACCTTGTCTCTTATTAGAAAAAGGAAGTTGGAAAATTTAAACAATAATAAGTAACAATATAAAAAAATTCTAGTAGAAACTTTTTTAATTTTGCTTTTTTAGTTGCTGGTTTGGGACTTGTTAAAGGTATGCAAAAATAAAAAAATAAAAAACAGAAACTTTAAAGTTTAATTTTATTGATACTACAGTACAAAGTACATGCAGGACCTCTTAGTCTCTGCTCCAACATGAAAATTTAGAAAATAATTAATTTTATAATTTGAATATATTGCTAATAAAATTAGAAAGTACCACAAAGTTAATTTTGTGTTTTTTTTCATTACAAAAAAAATGATAATGTAAAAGATATAATTTTTTTATATTTCTTATTTTATTTTGATAAATATAAGATTAATTTAATTATATAACATCAGGTGACCTTTGCCTTTGTGATGGGCATTTATGCAATAGCTCACCAAGAACTAGAAATATTAGTAAACTAGTGTGGTTGCTTTCATTTTCATTTTTCATATTCAAAATATTGTAAAAAAAAAAATAATTTTTAGTTGTATGCACTTTGTATTATACACAGTTTCTTAGTTATGCTATACTTCAGAAATGTCATGCATAATTTTTAATCTAAAAGATGAAGTAAATTAATATTTATCGAAATATATTCTGAATTTTATCTTAAGCATTCTTATTAGTGTAGTTTAAAATGTAACGACGACCTAAATAAACAGTTTCTGATACGATGATAACCAAAAATATTGGTTTGTAAAGACGACAGCAAATCGTGATAATTAAGTGTGTTTAATGTTGTTACAAAGCAAATAGTTATGCTAGACACTTATTTAATCACTAATTTATTGAAATGGGTCTGTTTACATTACACAATTGCTGTGTCTGATGCGCATTGGAATTTTGAAAGCCTTTTAAAAGTTGTCTTCCCATTTTTTGGTTGTCACTGTAAATAAGTTATATGATTTCTGATAAAATAAAAGGATGATATTCGATGATATTATCGAGGGGGGTGTACGATTAACAGATGGAGATCTTCTTTTTGAGTCTCAAATGAAAATGGGGAAGGGGTCTTTTATAAAATTTAAGGCTCAACTTGACCCCAATTTATGCTATTTTCGTTCGGTGATTATATAATCAATTTATTGATAAACCCTTTGTAACCCCTTATCATATTTCGCTGATTAAGATATATAGCAGATGTTGATGTTGATAATTCTAGTCTATAGTTTATATTTGTGTGAGCTAGAAACCGGTCTCTTTAATTTATACATTAATTTGTGAACATGACTAAATATTATGCCTCTGTGTATTATTTCGTCTTAGTTTTGTATTTACTAATACAGAGACTAGGGAGAGGAGGAAAATTATTAATATTCGATATTTTGAATAAACTACTCTGTCATACATTGTATGCACGTAATAAATGATTTAGGTTTACACGCAACAGGTTTTCTAGTTTATTCTATAAATAAGGAACGTGCATGTCCTACGAAACATGAGAATTAGAAGACGACTTGACTGTCATCTTTAGTTTATGAAATAATTTGCGACATGCATTCGTCAACCTACTTTTATATTCATAATCCTTGAATCAATAATTTAATCAAGTTCGCGTATTCCTAGAATTTTCAAAATGTGGTCGGACCTTTTTTGATTTTTTTAAGAGAAATTTATGATTATTTTAAAATAAGGTTGAGGATTGTATTCCACAAATTATTTTACCGATCAAAGACGACTTGTAAGCTGTATTGGCACATACTAACCTTCTGTCATATATTTGTAAACAGTAGTTAATGTATTTTACAAACTAAGAATCAGATAACCCTAAATTTTCAATTTCCAAAAAAATTTCGGGCTAATCTTGTATGAAACCTAAATTTGTACTGTGTTTAAACTCTAATAGTCCAATCAAAGAAATTATCAAAAACGAATTTCTAAAATGATTGATAAAAATTATTATATGACTTAAAAAAAAATTAAAGCATCTAAATTTTTTGTGTACAGTAAAACCCTTAATTACGAATACATCGAAAGAATTCATCAAATGTCGTATTCTTCACTTTCTGATAATGGAATGTTGCAGGTATTTAGTTTTTTTAATTAAATGATTATATGGAGCTCTTTAAAACTGTTCCCGCATATTCATGACTATTTATTTATTTTCGCAAATACTGAAATTTACGTAATATAGTATTGAAAAATTGTCAAGACGACATTTAATAAATTCTTCCGATGTATTCTGAATGTTAAAACTGGACCAGAAAGCGATGCCAAATTTCCATTCCTGGAAAACTAAAATTTAGAATAATAATTGTAATTTTATTCTAAATATCTAATTAAGTTAAACATGGACTAGTTCAAAATAAAGCAATGTTTATATTTTTATGCAGTTTAAATTTATTTCTGTTGAAAAGTAAAACACCACGTTAAATTCAATTGCATCCAATTTTTACATTTTTTTTAAAAACGACAAAATTAAAGAGGATCTTAAAATTGTAAATGTGATATCAATCAACAATGGAAAATCTGGAAAATCATTGAGAGTGTTTTATTTGACAATTTCTGGAAAACAAAACTAAACTTTAACAAAAATAACAACATTTGTCAAACAGAGGTTGTACAATAAAAGAATAAGTTGATTAAGGTACCATTTTTATTTATTATCTGTCAAAATTTTTTTGTGAATGAGATTTTGATAGTTGTTTATGATATGTGTCAATCATTTTGAGGGCCATCGGATTAAATAAACTTATAAAATAATTATTTTCAAGCAATGCGCTTGTTGTCAAATCTAGCACATGCCCTGAAGTAAACCACGTATCATTGCTACCCGTGTCCTTAACAATAGAAAAGCAGGTTTAGTCATGAAAATCAACAATTATATGGGTTCATCAAATGATTTGGAATAAGGAATCTAGCAAAAAATGGTTATTTTCAAGTTTCTAAAAATGCTTCATGAATCATGATTGATTTTTTTCTACCAGTTTTGACCTTTGATCAAGAACAGTATTGAAAGTTTAAACTTTTCTCAATCAGATTTTTTAAAAACTTTTTAAACCTAAATTTGTACTCAAAACTTCGGAGACATCGAAAGAATTTATAAAATATAGTTTTTTAAAACGACGGATAAAAGAATGCTGCAGATATTTAGTTTTTTAATTGAAGAATTATATGAGGCTCTTATGCACTGTTCCTATGCATTCCTCATATTTCAGGCCATTTATTTTTACAATTACCGAGATTTAGGTATGATACAGGGTGTCCCAATAAACATGAGAATTCAGTGACGACTTTTACATCGTCTTCGATCCATGCCTTATTTTTTTATGATTCAATTAAAGCCGTATTCTAGGTTAAACATCTAATATCGTAAACGCCAGGTCTTGAGATTTTCGAAATTTGGTCTACCATTTTTTAATCTTCAAAATTGACGTAGATATTACAAAATTTCAATTTATTTCATAAATCAAAATTGCCTTAGTATCTAATATTTTCGTCAATTTTTAAGATACAACTTTATAAAGAGCTCGTCAGACATACAGCCTCGTTTTTTTCTTTCTTTTCCATGCATTAAATGCCAGAAAGCAAAGACGACTTAGGATAAGTTGTACAAGAAACACTGACGCATTTAGTTTTTGTAACAAATTAAAAATTTCAGAACATTTTCCCAGCAAACTAAAAATGGATAGATTTGAATATTGGGTTAATCATCTAAAATTAGGTAAGCACTGTTTTGATGCAAAGTAATCTAAGTAAAAGCAAAATAAAGCTAAGTATGAATTTTCATTAAATTCTCTTTAACGTTTAGTAATACTTCCTGTACTTACCACAGAAATAAAACGAAGTATTGTTATATTTAGCTTGATTTTTAAGTCGGTGATTTTTTTTCTTCAAATCTGTGTCCGAATTTTATTAATTTAAGCCGCGTCTAAAGGTGTTCGCTGCGTCTGAAAGTGTTCGCTGCGTTCTTCTGTGTGAGTCGTTTTAAACAATTTTTTTTGATATACGCAACAGATAGAAGTATGATTAGTAGCAATCAAAAGCGCTTATTTTTCGCCGTAAACCTATACCGCCTTTAATTTTCCGTGAACACTCCCATTAAATCCCCCAAAACCCGGCTTCAATTCAGCGCCAGTTTAAATCAAGAAAAATTTAATATAATTCTAAGTGGAACCAACTATATTTAAGAGCCCCGGCTAAAATTTATACCGCGGCTCAAATTCTCTAAATTCCGCCTCTGATTAAACCGACTTTACGTTTACCTTCCGTGCTTTTTTTTCTCCAGAGGCCAAATTTAAATAATTTGAGCCGCGGCTTAGATTTAAGTGGCGGCTAAACTATGGTTGGTTCAACTTAAAATCATATTCATTGTTTCAAGATTTAAGCCGGCTCTTAATTGAAACCGGATTTTGGTGGATTTAAGACGCGGCTAAAATTCATTAAATTCGGACACTGATTTTAATTAATTTTTATTTATTCAAAGAAATTTATATTTTTTTACGGTATTGTTACAGTTCAGCATCCAGGGGATGAAGAAGGGTTTTTCAGAGAAGAATTCAGGGATACATTTATTGTGAAGAATAATCTAGGAGAATGCAGGTGGATTAATTTGTTATTTCTTGGTTGACAAGTGCATGCTTTATGCTTATGTTTCCGGAATTAATCTAATCTTTAATATCCCTGGTCCTTGCATTTTGTAATATTGAAAATAACAAACTTTAAAGATGTTCCAGTTATTTTTGGTGGGTTTCCAAGCTTTTAATTTCTGACTTGCGTATAATTTAGAACTGACCTAGGTAGACTGGACTCATTGTAAAAGCAAGTTTTTCCTCTGAAAATGCATTGAATATTTAAAGTTTTATAGTTGACAATTTAATACTAATTCTTTATGCAGGAATTCTGCGACAGTTGCATATTTTGCGCAGAAAACGTCTCCACCCTTCTCCCCATCATCATTTCTGTTCAGGTGATAAACTTCACAAAATCAGAGGCCAGAAAGGATAAAAACTTGCAGAGGGGAGATATAATTACAGAGAGGATAAATAGTTACAGAGAGGATAGTCAGTTACAGAAGGGAATGGAGTTACGGAGAGAAAAGAGATTTACAGAAGGGATGCGTATTTACAGAAAGGATAGAAATTTACAGAGAGGATAAATAGTTAAATAGAGGATAGAGATTTACAGAGTGGATAAATAGTTAAATAGAGGATAGAGATTTACAGAGAGGATAAATAGTTAAATAGAGGATAGAGATTTACAGAGTGGATACATAGTTAAATAGAGGATAGAGATTTACAGAGTGGATTAATAGTTAAATAGAGGATAGAAATTTACAGAAGGGATACATTGTTGCAGAGAGGATATAGATTTACAAAGGCGATAAATAATTACAATGGAGGATAGAGATTTACAGAGTGGATAAATAGTTACAGAGAGGATATTGATTTACAAATGGTTACAGAGGTAATATAGAGTTACCAATGTATAAAGAGTTAGAGAAGGGACAGAGAATTACGGAGGTGATAAAGAGTTACGGAGGGGATAGACAGAAGAAATTTATAGTTACAGAGTCATTAGAGAGTTATATAGGTAATACAGAGTCATAGAGAGGACAAAGAGATACAGAGGGGATAAAGAGAAAATTATAGAGAGGATAAAGAGTTACGGAGGGTAAAAAGAGTAAAAGTGTGGATAGAAAATTACATAAAGGATGATAAGTTAAAAAGGATAAAAGAGAGATATACAGAGGGGATAAAGAGGTATAGAGAAAATATAGGGTTACAAAGGGTATAGAGAATTACAAAAGGGATAATGAGTTACAGAGGGGATAGAGATTAACGAAGGGGACAGAGATTTTTAGATGGGATAAATTGTTACAAAGGGGACAGAGAGTTACAGAAAGGACAGAGAGTTAAATAGAATTACAAAGGGGAGTTACAGTGATTAGTGAAGACAAGAATTAAAGTGATGATAAATAGTTACAAGAATAATAAAGATGTCAAGGGATGATAAACGAATGATACAAAATCACAGGGATGATACAGAGTTACAGCCTACAGGGATCACGACAAAACTCCACAAGGCTGAAAAAGAGCTACAGGAATGATGAAAATTACAGGGATGATATCGATTTACAAAAATGATAACGAATTACAAAGAGTTACAGGGATGATAAAGAGTAAAATAGATAATAATGATAATATTAATGATAATGATAATAATGATATCACAAGGTCCAAATGGAGGATAGAAAAAGTATTACAACAAAATATAAAAAATATTATTTTTAGATGTAAAGGAGCTGAGCTGCTGTACTACCATTTTGGGGCTCCTTTAACTATCAAAATATTCATGAACGGAGTTCGACAGGATCCAGTTAATTTTACTTTGGGTCCCCAGGTAACCTTAGATCATTTAAACCTATTAGTCTATAGGTCCCCAGGTAGCCTTAGATCATTCAAACAAATTACTCTAGGTCCCCAAGGTAACCTTAGATCATTTAAACCTATTAATCTATAGGTCCCCAGGTAGCCTTAGATCATTCAAACATATTACTCTAGGTCCCCAGGTAACCTTAGATCATTCAAACATATTACTCTAGGTCCCCAGGTAACCTTAGATCATCTAAACATATTACTCTAGGTCCACAGGTAACCTTAGATCTTGTGTACATATTACTTTAGGTCCCCAGGTAGCCTTAGATCATTCAAACATATTACCCTAGGTCCCCAGGTAACCTTAGATCATATCATATTACTTTGGGTCCCCAGGTAACCTTAGCCATATCTTGTATTCATATTACTATAGGTCCCAGGATAATCTTAGATCTTGCAAACATATTACTCTAGGTCCCCAGGTAACCTAAGATCTCGAAACATGATTTTTATATATGACTAAAAAAATATTTCTCAGATAAAATTTTGTTTGGATATTTTAAAATATTGATAAATTAAAAAATAAACGTTGAAAAAAAGAACAATGAAAGACAAAACGAGGAATTTCATAAAAATCATCAAGCAAGCTAAAATAAAGTAATCCATATTTTTATCTTAAATCTATTAATATTTTATCAAATACAGATTGATGAAGGACAAACACTGTTTACTGCTGTACCAAAGGTGAATACAATTACAAATTTGAAAATTAGAAAAAAAATTTAAAAAAAACTACTCACGAGATTGTTAAGCAGAAACCTCTAAGAGTTTTTGATCTTAAGATTAAGATTAAATTCTACTAAAACTTTAATCTATAAGATTTTATTTTTTAATTTCATAAATTACTTATTCTATTAAATAGAAATATTTACAGAAATGCAGAGACAACTGACAAATCATCTCTGATTTCAGATAGTACATAAATGATCTAATGTGTATCCAAAATTAGCAAACATTTTGGAGCTGTCTGAAATGTTGGGAGGCCACATTTTGGAATCCAAAAATTAAACATTTTCGACGTTAAAACTGTTTTTGGTTGTTTTACTTATTAATACAATAAGTGTCTTCACAAAAATATTTCGTTCAAAGTCGTCACTTAATTCTCATGTTAATTGGTACTCTCTATAATGTCAAGCTAAATTATTGTCTAGGACACTTGGTTTACCAGAATTGTAGAATCAGAAGATGAAAACAATTTTACTGTTTATAGGTAAAATTTAAAAATAAAATCCAAACAACTTTTGTCAATTATATTCTGTTTTTTAGTTGTTCTCTCATTCCTGGTTTTGAGTTGGCAGATTTTGAGGCAAGAAAATACGGAGATTTGATGCAGGAGAATTAATATTATAATTAATGTATGTCCAGATTATATGAATACATTATGCTTTCTATACCTACACAGTATTAAGGAGCAAAATATAATTCTTCTCAAAAATATGTTTCAGCACACTTTTTGTCTTATAGTCCTTTCTTGTTACCTTTTCTTCTTATCTTCCTGTCGTCTGATCCTATTGTCTTCTTGTCTCCTTGTCTCTTTGTTTTTCTCTCTTCTTTTCTTCTTTCCTTCTTTTCTCCTGGTTTCCCAGTCTCTCGTTTCTTATGCTTTTTCCTTGGTCTTTTAAATCCTTGTCTCCTTTTCTCCATTCCTCCTTGTCTCTTTGTCTCCATGTATCGATGTCTCCATGTATCGATGTCTCCATGTCAAGTTGTCTCCATGTCAAGTTGTCTCCTTGTCTCCTTGTCTCCTTGTCTTCTTGTCTCCATTTCTTGTTGTCTTGTTGTCTCGTTGTCTCGTTGTCCACTTGTCTTCTTGGAACCTTGTCTCCATGTCTCCTTTTCTCCTTGTGTTCTTGCCTCCTTGTGCCCTTGTCTCCTTGTCTCCTTGTCTCCCTATCTCCTTGTCTCTTCGTCTCCTTGTCTCCTTGTCTCTTTGTCTCCTTGTTTCCTTGTCTCCTTGTCTCCTTGTCTCCTTGTCTCCTTGTCTCCTTGTCTCCTTGTCTCCTTGTCTCCTTATATCCTTGTCTCTTTGTCTTATTTTCTCCTTGTCTCCATGTTTCGTTGTCTCCTTGTCTTCAAGTCTACTTGTCTCATTGTCTCCTTGTCATCTTGTTTTCTTGTCTCTCTTTATCTTCCTGTCTTTTGTCAAACTAAAGAAGATAATATATTCGTTATTTCTTTAAGATTTAAAGATTTCAAATATTTGATGAAAGTTTTAGAATAGTTTTTAGTCTGTTCAAACTTAAACCTTTAATCTTTGACTGCTCTAATTGATAAAAGATGGACTCAAGGCTTCGTGACTTGAGAACACACCTAAATTTAACAAAGAACGCCTAGCTTAGAATTAATTATTCAGGTGCTATATTTGTTCCTAGTTTTCTTTTAGGGGGGGGGGTGTACCTTTTGGCTTTTGCGAAATTTTGATATATTAACCCTAAACAGGCTGAGGGGGAGGGCATTTGACTTCCCCCTTTCCCCCCCCCCATAAACCACCTCTGGTTCCATGGTATTCCCCGGTATTCCATAATATTTATAGATTATATCGACGTTTTACAAATTCTTTGGTCTTAATATTCAATTTCGTAGATTTAGTGTTTACTCTTGTATTAACCCTATTCCTGCTGGGGAGGGGGGTCAATTTGACCCCCCTCCCTGTAGTTTTTTTTTACATAACTCAAAAAGTATTGGTCTGAGGCTGTTGAAATGTTCTGACTTTTCTTACATACCCATAGCCCTCCTTTTAGGCCTAAAACCGGGCTTTAATACTACCTGCCTGAGTCCTCAGGCACACTGCCTGAATGACTGCTTTTTCCAGTAACAAACTAAATATTTGTTTTGACCCACTTCCACTTGTCAGATTTTGATAAAAATTTAGCTTTTTGGAAAGCCTTTGACACAAGGAAACGAATTGCACAAGTTTTGTGAGAAAAAATTGCAAATTTTTTGCAAACAACCTGTCAAAGGAAATTTGCACATTTTTAGTTTTTCTTGATTAAAAATCAGGTTATTTAAAATGGCATGGTCAAGGGCTTTTCAAAAATGTATAATTTTTCATTTTTTGGACAAATTTTTTTTTTGCAAACATTTTTACATTATAACTGGATTTTGCGATAAAAAATTCAATTTTTGCAAATTTGCCAATTTTTGTGCAGATTCTAAAAGTAGAGCACAAGAGCTTTCTAATGATGTATCATTTGTCATATTTGGACATCAAACATGGGATTTAGAGGGGGGGGGTCAAATTGACCCCCCCCCCCCAGCATATCCTGGTTTTCAAGTACCCCAGCAGAGATAGGGTTAAATTACTACCAAGTCCAAATTTTAGTCAGCATTTTTTTGCTGTTGATAATTTGACCTGATCTGTTTGAATGTTAACACATATGGATTCAATATCAATGACAATAATATTTTTCTAAATAACTTTTGAACAAAGTTTTAGACAAATCATAATAGTTAAATAAATATCTAGTGTTTTGTATTTTCACCTAAGAACTGAGATTTATTTTGCACGCGTCCCATCCCCATCCAAACCCAACCCTTCAATCATTAAACGTTCCATATTTCATCAACCCCCTCCCTTAATCTTCTATCTCTTTGTTGTTATCTCTAAAAAGGTTGTAAAATATTGTTTATTATTTCCCCCACGCCGTCCGCCACCGCCGCCGCTGCAAAAAGAATTATGCCATAAATTCCACTGTTCAATATTTAGAAGAGGAAACAACGGGAAACATGCACCTCCACAAACTTAAGAAGAAAATATTTAAAATTTAAGAAAATAGAAAGTTAGACAAGCTAGAATATGAACATTGAACAATAATGATAATTTGATTGCAACATATTTTTATATACATGGCACACATGGGATTCAAAGTTAACTAAGGATTATTAAAACTCAAAATACTCAAAGTTATCTATAGGGATTAGAATAATTCAGGGGATTCATATTTAATTAGGGATTATAAGAGTACAAAGGATTCATAGTTTACAAGGGATCATTTGAACTCAAAGAAATCAAAGTTAATTAGGAATTATGAGAAATCAAAGGATTCATAGTTAACTAGAGATTATTAAAACAGAAAGGATTCATGGTTAATTAGGGATTATTAGAACACATTAGATTCATAGTTAACTAGGAATTATTAGAACACATTAGATTCAAAGTAAACTAGGGATTATTAGAACACATTAGATTCATAGTAAACTAGGGATTATTAGAACACATTAGATTCATAGTAAACTAGGGATTATTAGAACACATTGGATTTAGTAAACTAGGGATTATTAGAACACTTTGGATTCATAGTAAACTAGGGATTATTAGAACACATTGGATTCATTGTAAACTAGGGATTATTAGAACACATTGGATTCATAGTTAACTAGGGATTATTAGAACACATTAGATTCATAGTAAACTAAGGATTATTAGAACACATTGGATTAATAGTAAACTAGGGATTATTAGAACACATTGGATTCATAGTTAACTAGGGATTATTAGAACACATTGGATTTATAGTAAACTAGGGATTATTAGAACACATTGGATTCATAGTAAACTAGGGATTATTAGAACACATTGGATTCATAGTTAACTAAGGATTATTAGAACACATTGGATTCATAGTAAACTAGGGATTATTAGAACACATTGGATTCATAGTAAACTAGGGATTATTAGAACACATTGGATTCATAGTTAACTAGGGATTATTAGAACACATTCGATTCATAGTTAACTAGGGATTATTAGAACACATTAGATTCAAAGTAAACTAGGGATTATTAGAACACTTTGGATTCATAGTAAACTAGGGATTATTAGAACACATTGGATTCATAGTTAACTAGGGATTATTAGAACACATTCGATTCATAGTTAACTAGGGATTATTAGAAAACATTAGATTCATTGTAAACTTGGGATTATTAGAACACTTTGGATTCATAGTAAACTATGGATTATTAGAACAGAAAACTATATATTTATAGTTAACAAGGGAACATTAAAATACAATGGATTCAAAATTAACAAAGGAGTTCCCGTTGACAAGACAGTTCACTTGTGTACAAGAGATTAATGGGAACAAGACAATTCTTTTCTTTTTGATTCAAGAAAAATTTGTTTTCAATGATTAAACATAGATTTAACCAAGACCACAAATGTCAACTATTACCTGGAAAATGTTTGTTTAGTATAATTTTAATAACAGAATCTATAAATTCTAATAATTACTGGTTTAACAGTGGTTCAAGGGTTGGTGAGGTAAAATCAAAGGCCAAGGTATTTAGAGTCAACACTTGACACTGTCTTAAACATTGTTCAACTTTTCACATTAGTCCAAATCTATGTAGAAAAATAGTTGCTATTATTGCTATTCTACAGCTTGAATAATGTATTGTATTTAAACGTATCCATCTATATATATATAAAAATGTAATCTCTGTTTGTCTGTTTCTTTATCCAAACATAAATCAGGACCCCTACACCGATTTGCCTCAAATTTTGATAGGGGAATGTTCTTAGCTTGGTTTTGAGATTCTAAGTTAAGTGGTTCTACTTGAATAGAGAAAATCCAGTTTCCCAGTACAATCGTTTAAGTGCGGGTAAACGACGGGAGAAACTTGTAGTAACCTGGGGAGAGCTGGGTTTCCAAGCTAGTTTTATATATTCTGCTAATATATTGGTTCAATAGTTGCTATTCTACAGTTTGTATTTATGTATCTTGTCTTATTTATGCTGGATAACACAGCAGATGAGGATTTGTTTTCGTGTTTTTGCATTATATACATATGCTTCATATGATCATATCCTTTACTTATATCAGTTTAGCAGATGGTAAATATCTAAAGAGATATTTATATTCTTTATATAAATTTTAATTAAAAATATCAATCATGCTTTTGTTTATATATCCTACCTAACAACGCTGTTAAAATTGATAATTTCAATGATTTCTACTGAATGAAACACCTTGTACTGTGTCTAATCAGATTAGAGATATTTACAATTTTTCGGGATAATTAGATAGACAGATTTTCAAAAGATTATACAATATACATTTTATAGAGTAATTGGGATTCAAGCCATTCAACGGGTATCAAAGAGTTCAGATCTTTAAAAACTAGACATTAAATGATTTTGCTACTCTTTGAATAGAGGCCGGTAAATGAAAATTACAACGGCAATCTCATATTATTCAATTCTTGATATCTTTTTTGAGCAAACTGCAAGCATGCAATTAAAACATGAAGAATGAACATCACTTGTTTCCCCTGCCTTTCTTAAAACTCTTGAAAATTTATCAAGATTTAGTACCGGACTGGCATATAGGCAGCTAGAAAATGCAACAATAAAGGAATTGAGTCTTTGCCACAAACTCTGATTTTCTAATCACTATATCTTTGGAACATCGAGTTCTGAAGATATTGTGGTTTAAATATTTGATGTTGTTCCAAAGACTCAATTGATTGTGTAAAACTACTGTAGAACTGAACAGAGTTCTTGCCACAAAACGTTTTTTTTATCAAAGATCTATTTCAAACTAGGAATTCTGTTAGATCAAATAGTCTAAGTTTGACATTATCAGGTTGCCAATAAAAAGGGAATGGTAAATTTGAGCTTGTTGTAAGAACTCAGATCTTTGGTTCGATTTTTACATAATCATAAATTAATATTTCTATAATAACCATGGAAGTTGGCTGATAGATAAATTTGATTTGTGTTAACAATCTATTTGTTTAGTTTAAAGCTTTGAATATTTATTCTAACAACGACTCTGAATCATTTATTTAGCTGTTTTAAACCTTAGTTTAATAATGGATTTGTTAAACATGTTTCATGCTTGCTTAATCGTTCTATTTAAATCCATTGCAAACATTTTCATTAGAAATATTCATATTCTTAGAATGTTTATTTAGATTTAAACTTTTTGGAAACACCACACCATGATACGATTTAAATGTTGTATTATTAGTTTTAATTCTAAAATTTATCTAGAGACCTAATCATTGTGTACATTCTTATTATAGCTTTATAAAATCGAAAGATAAAATCATTTCTTCATTATTGAAATTGAAATGTTTGTTTATTGTTTTATTGTTCTAGCAAGGGTCTAGGGGTGACAATTCAAAAATTTTTAGACATTATTGTCAGAGGGAATATATACAGAAGTAAGAACTATGGTTTTAAAAAAATTAGAAATATTATTTTGCTCCCCTAGTTCACGTTTTATTTCGAAAGGAACTGAGTTTTTGCCACAAATTCTGATTTTCGAATCCCTATATCTTTGGAGTCTGATGTTGTAAACCTTTGATGTTTCAAACTATCATCATTTAATCTAAAAGAATTCATAGTTTGAAATATCAAATGTCTTCGACATTGAATTACAAAGAAATAGGGATTAGAAAATCAGAGTTTGTGGCAAAAACTCAAAATTTGGCCAACAGCAACAAGTGTTTAGTTCATGCAACTGATTTAAGGATTTTAAACGTTATAAAAAGCTTCATAGGAAAAGTTTACTAGCATTACAGTGAGATACATAAAATTGTGGAATAGGAAGACTGTTATATAAGTTAAAGAATGCTCCACTATATTTACTAAATTAACCCTATAAAGGCTGGGGGGGCGTCCTCCTCTAGAAAAAAGCCTGAGAGAATAGGTATAAGGTTAAAATGCATGTGCATAGCCCAGACCCAGCTCATTAAAAAAAAAATTTTTAGCATTAACAGTTTGGGTTTGAAATAATGCCAAAAAAGGGTCATCAAAATGATAAAAAAAAATTTTTAAAACATATATTGTCAGAAAAAAGTTTCACAGACCAGACTTTTTCCACTCTGTGGCTGTGCCGCTGTACCCTCCATATGCATTAAAGAATAAAAAGGTTAAAAATAATCAACTGAGTTACTATTCATTAAAAGTCACAAAATGACATGGTGATAGTGGCAAATATGAGAGTACTAGGAAAAAAAACTACCGGGGGGGGGGAGGCATTTAGGGTTAAGGCAACTTTGAATAAACATAATGAGTTTGACTTATTCTCTCCTCTTAGGGAGCGTTTACATTACTCTTAATCACTGAATTTTCAAATTTTTACATAATCTTAAAAGCTTACCCTTGAACACTTTGTAAGAAGTATCTCTGTATATTTCCTCTATGAGGTATAAATTTTTACATAGTTGGATATCTTTAAAACTTGGAAATGTCAAGATTTAACCTTTTTTCACAAAATATCATGAATCTTAACACAGGAGACAAAAGCCAAGATATTGGATCCCCGAGAGTCTCGTAAATAAGTCTAAACTTCTCAAACTACACAAACTTTTAAAACATTTTTTTGATTTATTAACTTGGTTTGAAGTACAGGGAAACCCCATCTATTTCAGAGATTTACAAATTTCTTATATATATAGTTCTTATTAGTCTAACATGAAACAAGGCAAAGTCTCATTCAGACAGAAGGAGACGCTCAAATCTATGAAACATTACTGGTACGATTTTGTGACCTCGTGGTTCCTCTCATTTT